AGCCCCAACTTCATCCCGCAGTAAATCCAAGGGAGCCAACCCGCCGGCCTTCCTCTTGGTCGCCGGCCACCTTCCGGCACCACCTCCTCCACAACCCCAACCGCCGGCCACCTTCCCCATTCCCCACTTAATCAAATTTTGAAAATTCAAAATTGATTGAGTTCCAAAATTTCCTAATTTGTCAAAGCCAAATTAGGAAAGTTTTCAAATTCAAAACAATTTGAAATTCAAATTGAAAAGGATCTCATAATCTAGCTTCCTAATGCATACGTGCTAATTTGGAAGGCTCATAAATTGCTCCCACACCTCCTCTCCCTCTCTTGAAACCGCCGGCCCCATGAGGGTTTCTCCCCTCTTTGAATGCTTCATTAATTCTCCAATTAAAGCATTCATGGCCACCCATTTGAATTCAAATTTCAAAATAAAATTTCCCGCAGCTGTTGGCTGATTTTTCCTTCCCAAATCCCTTCCAAAACTCCAGGAAAATTGCTGCCCAACATCTCAATTTGCTGTTTGGAAATTCCTGCAGCAGCCCACCGACGTCCAGCCATCCCGGGAGCGATAATTGCTGTCCAGATCTTAGGGACTGCCCTTCTTCCTGTCTAGAAGTTTCCCTGAGCACAATAGGTTGCTATCTTGTTGACCACAACAAACTAGGGTGCTGTCCAGCCGTCCATAACCAGTCCTAGCTGCTGTCATGAGGAGATCTAGTGTCGTCCAGCCGCCTAAAGAGACTCCCATTGCTGTTGAGTGGTTCCAGAAGTTTGAAGGCTGATGCCCCTTCATTCCAGCCATCGTCATAGCTTCATAACTCCTTTTTTTTTGGGTAAACTCTTCACTCACTCTCTATCTTCTAAGTTTACTCTACTCGTGGTTATAATTTGATTCACAAAGCGCATGTTTTATCGCCTCCGCTAAACCTAGTATTTGAATGGGTTGTGAGAGAGACCCTTCATAATACTAATCTTATTGTTAGCATTGTAATTTCTCGTTGAAACCACTCATGTATGCAAAGTAAGACTTAGTTGACTATTTAATGATCTCAACCTCTCACATGTGTTTAGACCTAAGCTATTTTATCACCTTAATGTTATCTTATCGTTTACATCAATAGAGGATTTTGCTTAACATTGCTCTCTAAAATTTACAAGTGCAAACTTCCTTAAGCAAGTCATTTTCGCATGTATTGTTTCACATCACAAACAATAGTAGATTTTTTGTACTTTTATTTAAAATGAACTATATGTGGTAGTTGCCCTTTTTGTGTATTGGATGATGATATTACAAGAAGGTTTACAAAATTTTATTTTGATATTAATTTTTGTGCTGATAGATGTAATTTAAAAACTTTGTTTAATTTGTCCGTTCTCTCCTTGCCAGGTCATGACAATATTGTTAGAAGAAAAATTGAATGATAATTGGCATTCACTTCTTACCTAAATTTAGGTTTCAAAATAAAAAGCATAAAAACCCTGATGCAGGACTAAAATGTTTTAATTGCATGCGTTAAGAATTTGCACGATTTCTTGAATAAAACAATTAGGATTAAAACTTTTAGCAGCCCAAAACGACAAAAGAAAACAAGAGAGGAGTGCCTATGTTTAGGCTAAGCTGCTTGCCAAATGCTTGATTTATCAAAATAACGTAGAATATCAATAACATGCTAATTAAGTAGCTTTGAAACAAAATTCCTATGCTAACAATGAGATAGAAGCATAGAGACCAAACTCAAGTCCTACGATTACTAGGCTTGGCAAAAATAGGTGAATAAGATCTTCATGAATCAATCAAATCACAAGAGCAAGTTAGACAATGAAGATACAAGAGAAGGAAGATTGGTAAACCTTTATCACGGTTGGGTTGCAATCCTCCACTGAACGGTGCCAAGTTGCTCTTCTATAGCTTCGACAAGAGTATCTAGAATGCGATCCACGTATTCCTCGATGTTGTCGATATTCGGATTGACGTCAAAGAACGTTGAATGAAGCTGAATGTGCACGAAACCTTGCTCGTCGTAGGCAAGGTCGTAGTCAAGGTCGGGATCGGCCATGCATCACGTCGAAGGAGGGATGTGTTGTAGACGACGTCCCTTTTCTTTTGTCTTCCTCAAGAATTTTTCCTTGAAAGAAAACGTTCTTTCAAGCTTTCAAATGTTGGAGAAAGGTTGAAGGAAATCCTTTGTCAAAATTGTTGTGGAGAACCTTGCTTAGGATGCAAAGGGGAAAGGATTTAATGTGGGGGAGGAAAATTTGAAAGAGAGAGAAGGGGCGGATAGGAGAGAGGGCTGGCGGTATTGGGGAGGTTAGGGAATTTTTTTCCAAATCTTAATATTTGACTTTGGAAGAAATAAAGAGGTGTAGGGGATTAGGAAATTTTGGCCAAGGTGAGAGGGGGAAGTGTTTGGAAATATTTCTAAGAGAGTCAATTGGATTTAGGAAATAAATTCTTTTGGAAACCCATAGGGGGCCGGCGGCATGGAGAAAGAGAGAGAGGGATTTGGGAAATAAAACCAAGCCTTCTTAAATTGAATTATTAAATTCGGAAGGGCTTAATTAATTCCCAATTAATTTTAAAATTCAATGGGGTGAAATTTGACAACTTTCCTAAAATAGGATTTGCATTTTAGGTAATAATTTGAATTTGCAAATTAATTGAGTTACCTAAAATATTAAAACCCAATTTGGAAGGAAATAATGGCAAGCATTGATGGAGGGAATCCAAAGTGGAGCAAGGGGCTGACGGCTTGGTGGGTGAACGATGGGTGGGGTGGGGAGAAGTGGTCGGGTGAGGGTGGAAGTGGAGTTGGGTCTAACCAATGGAGTGGGGAAGCTGTATGGTGGCCATCGACTTAAGGAGATGGGGAGGAGCTCTAGGCCGCCGTCTAGTTGAGGGAGAATGAGGTGAGAAAAAGGTAGAGAAGGTAGAACCACGAACTCGACCGTGGTGGTTTATCCGATTTTCCTCTCCTAGGGATTTATCTCTCAAACACTCTCAAGATCTCACAAAGAAATCTAGCCAGGGGGAAAATTTTATCAATCATTCATTAACTATAAAATAAGAACATAAGGGCTATAAATAGCCTCGTACAAAAGGACTTAAAGATAAAATACGACATTGCCCTTAGGACTTACATACAACCTCTCTTTAGTGAGGGGTAAAACGAGAAAAATAAATACAACATAAATAACAAATAACATAATAGAACAAATACATGAAATGACTCAAAAATACATCGACTCGATCGTGGCCGTAGATCGACGGCCACGCCTCTGATATACTTTCCATGCTCTGATGTCCCCATCAAAAGTCACTTTCACTTTCTATCTCCTTTCTGTTAAACACACAATTGAACTTATTTGCTAAGCCGTGTATCAACCACTTTAGTCCGAACAAACACTTGTATTTCAAAATACCTCAGTCCTAAGTGTTTAGGATATCTAGGATAGAATATCAGTTCTTAACAATGAACTCAGTGTCTTTGGTTCTTGGACACTTGTGGATTTTGCATAAAATTGTATTTGTTTTCATTTATCACTTTCTCAAGTTTCCATGTGAAACTTGTTTGAAGCTCTTGTCATGCATACAATCTCTTAGTCGTATATATGATAATTTCATTTTTATGCATATTTAAACTAAACATCTTCTTTCATTATAATTATTCAATTTGAAATGCTGCAGCGTTGGATAAAAATGGATTAGTCTTTGCATCCTTAATCCTACAACTTTTTAGGTGGACAAGGCTGGAAATAATGAACACCATGAATATGATTGGTGGCATGAGTGAAACGGAGGAATTTGCCAGGCAGAATTTGAACCTATCAATTTGTGCCATCTTCTACTCTTGAACTCTTTAAATGTTTAGCAGACTGCAAGGTCTTCAGATGCAATTTCTCATATGCTCACCTCTCATATTGCCTTCTAAGTTACGCAGGCTTTCCTTGTCAACTTAAACAATCGAGTATGGACTCTGCACCGCAGACACCTCCCTCTTCCATGTCTCATCCTCAAAAATCGGAATATGCATTTTCTCGAACTTCTACATTCTGTACCAAATTATATTCTTCAAATTCAACTAACTCAGAAACCTGCGGGCTACTGAATAATTTGCCTTTCCACGCTCAACATCCCAAATCTGGTCAAGAGGGGGTGAATAACATGCCCAAACACTCAGATGATCTCACGAAGGAATTCCTTAATCTTTCAGGAGAAATTTCAGGTGATAGAATTCACGATGGAAATCACAACAGTAGTAACATGTCACTGATGGAGCAGATGGATTTACAGATTTTGTCCGAGCAACTTGGAATAGCTATCACAGACAATGGGGATTGCCCTTCCTTAGATGTAAGAACATCTGCATATACTATTTCTATCTTTATAATTTTTTTTTTGGTAATCCCAGCTTTGACATATACTTGAAGCAGGTTCCCCAGCCCAAGTTAATTTCTGAAAAACTTGGTCATAGTCAGGGGTAGAATTAGCCTTAATTCTTAGAGGGGGCAAACTCATAATATATATATATTAATATATAAGATCCTAAGCTTCTTCATGAAGGTAGAGCAATTTGGATGATTTAAGCTTTTGTTTGGGTCAGCTTTCTCGCTACTTTCTAAGCAATTTTTTAATAAAAAAATATCTAAATCTAAAAAAAATTTGTAGCAAAAAGCTGCTTTAAAAATGCTAAGAAAGCTGTGTTCCGAACAAAGCATTGGGATAGCTTTCTTAATTCTTAATGTTTTATGAAGCATTTTTTTTAGTATAAAAATGTTTAATTCACAAAAATTTTATACTAAAAAATTACTTTATAAAATAACAAGAAAGCTGTCCCAAACGAATTCTTAGGCTTCATTTGGGACGAAATTTTTTTTGTTTTTAAAAATAGAGTTTTAGTACAAAAATTAAAAATTTTATACTAAAACTCTATTTTAAGAATCAATAAAAAAATAGTCCCAAAAGAAATCCTACTCCAATAAGGAAAGAGAAATTATCGTATTTCAAAAGAAAAAAAAAATCCCTTTTTAGAACTGCTTCGCATTCAACATTATAGGACTATTCTTTGCCATGTTGCGATGCTGAATGCAATAATTTTTTTATAATAAATGTTAGCACTTTTCTTATCTAAATTACATCAAATTTATACTTAATAAAATACGGACTTAGGTTGAGACTGAGAAGTCTGTTTGCCTTGCCCCAATTCGAATGCGCCAAAACTATAAATTTAATCATTCGCTTAACTTTTAAAAAGAAAAGTAAAAAATGAGATGGAATGAAGACTAACGTGGTTGAGGATTGGGAGCTTTTGTTTCTTTTCCATTGGCTAGTGGTCCATCCAACACAGTTCCCCATTATAAATTTCCCAAACTGTCCCCATTATAAATTGCCCCCCCGGGCATAAGGCAGTTCCACCTTGGTCATAGTATTACTTCATTCTTTCTAGTCAATATTATTTTTAAATATTGTCTTTGGATATTAAAAGAAAATTAGTTTGTTGTCCTTAAGCTTCATTTTGGCTAAAGATATATGTGGCTAAATTTGTTTTTTTGTTTGTTTGTATGTCAAAGACAATGAGTTATATTAGTTTGTCAACATAAATGCTTTCTCCTTCTATACATCTACATCAATTTTAGTTTATTGTATGATCTCTTTCTCACACTCTCTCCTAGACATACTTCACCCTTCATCTTTTATTTGCATATCACATAACTCCTTTCCTTTATTTCCCACTTCCTCGCACTCAATCTCTTTTTATCTACTGATCTATCTATTTTCCCACTCTCCCCCTTCTTTACACAAGTCTTCCTCCCTCCCTCTCTCTCTCTTCTCTCTCTCTCTCTCTCATATTTCCCTATGCAACAGACAACTCTCTTTCTCTCTCGTCTTCACTCTTATTTAATCTTTTTTTTTTGTTTAATGATCTATCTATCAATCCAGTCTTTAGTCCTTCCCTCAATCTATCCTACGTCCATCACTCCATCTTTGTCTCATCTCTTTCTCTCTCCCTGTTTATATATTTTGTTCTCTCGTTGTCTGTCCCACTTCTCTCCTTCCTCCATCCCAGTTTCCCTTTCTAATATACTCTGTGTCATATACATAGCCCTCCATTTATCCTGCTATCTCCATCCCTCCATCATGCAGACTCTATAGTTCTCATGCAATATGCACCCTCTCTCTCTCTCTCTCTCTCTCTCTCTCTCTCTCTCTCTCTCTCTCTCTCTCTCTCTCTTCATTCCTTTGATAACGTGCTCCCTCAACTATTACAACTCGCTTTCTAACATTAACTCTCCCTATCACTTATACAATATGCACCTAACCTTTCTCTCCTCTCTCCACTTACTCATGCACTTTCTATTTCTTGTTCGATATACTCTCTTTCTCCTTTTCCATTTCTTCAAGAATCTTTCTCACTTTCTCTATTTCTCTTATGCAAATCTCATATGACTCGCTTTACCATCTCTTATACCTTTTGCATCTCTTATGCAAAGCTAACGTGCTAATTTCTCATTCAGGATATATATGAGACACCTCAGAGTTCTGGCTTTCCATCATTCCAATCCGGTTTCTTACAGGCACATGAAAAACTGAGCACTCCAGCTAAAGTTAGAACTCATTCTAGTTACTCAACTTCTGGATCATTATCTATTGTTAAACCAAGATTGAGGTGGACTCTTGAACTCCATGAGCGTTTTGTTGATGCAGTTAACAAGCTTGATGGACCTGAGAGTAAGTGCAATGTCAGATAAGTTGCAGTAAATTATGGAACTCCTACTTAACTTGAATGTCTCTCAATCACTGAATCAGAGGCAACTCCAAAAGGTGTTTTGATGCTTATGAATACTGAAGGCTTGACCATTTATCACATAAAAAGTCATTTGCAGGTAGTAACTGAATCTTTGGTTTGACAAGCAATCTATTTCCTTACTGGGAATCACCAATTTCTGAACTAAACATATCTTCAATTTTTCATGCAGAAATATCGACTTGCCAAGTTTCTTCCAGATACTATAGAAGGTGATTACCTCTGATATATGTCAGAAACTTAACGTTCTAAAGAAAAAAAATATTTTAGTATAATATTTTTGTTTGTGGTAAAACTAAAAGCGACTTGCTTATTTGTCAGGCAATTAGCTTGGTTTTTTAGTGTTTTGATTGTTTTGGAGATATTCATACCATGATGCCATGTCATCTCATAGACCCGTTTAGCCGGATGGATACACTTCAACATCATTGAAATTCTTTTATATGAATTGGCTGCTAAATCTATGTGTTAGGAAAGAGATGTAGAAGAGAAGAAGAGAGACAAGATGGTGGATTGCTTGCTTGATTCAATTGATCAAAACTTACCTCCTATAAATAGACTGTTACAAAGATGAAAAATAAGAAAGAAATGTATACATCCTAACAAGAACCAAATCTGAAATATTACAGCAGATATACTCGAAAAAATACAAATTATAAAATCCCAAGGAATTAGCCCCCGAAAGCCCCACGCCAGTTTCCTTCCATTTCAGCGTAGCCTGCATCTTTCCATGTGGAGAAAATAGCTAGATTTGCCATCTAGGGAAGCTCTGCTAGCCACTTTTTAAATGGGAGGACGATTCGCTTATTGCGCTTAATTGCTTCAACAAAGTGTCTTGAAACCACTAGCCATCCTGCCATTTATATTCTTGATTTATATCTAGAGAAAACTCAAGTATGTAAGAAGGTAAATATAATTTATAATTTCCTTTTTTTGTAGTGTGCAGAAGCTGATATTTAGAACTTCCTCTCAAGCTGGTTTGTACACATCATACAAGCTAAGTTTGTCAATCATTTTTTCAAATAAAGGACTTGTCAAACCTTTGTTCAAGATGTCATCGGTTTGATTGGAGGATGAAATATATAAAACACAATCTTTTTGAGTTTTTTTTTCTTTAATAGGCGTCAATCTACCTCCGCATGTTTAGTTCAATCATGATAGACAAGGTTGTGTGCTTTACTAATAGCAATTTTATTGTCATAGTATAAGATCATAGAAATCCTGACGCTCGCTTGAAGTTCTTTTTGATGTAGCTTAATCCTATTAGCCAATAATCTAAGGTCAACTTTTGCACTACTCAATACCAAGGCATTTTATTTTTCATTTATCTAGGTTATTAGATTAACCCATACAGAAGTACAATGTCCTGATATAGATCTCTTATCAACTATAGAGAATCCACAATCATTGTCACTATAGGTTTCTTTTGGTCGATATTCCCCCTTTTTTTTTCTAAGATTAGCTCTCTTCATGGGTACTTGAGTATTTTTCTGACACCACTTATGTGTTTTTTGTATGGTGCATGCATGACTTATAATTCCAACAAAGGTGATGTCAGGTATGGTAGGATAAAATATAATATCTTTCCTTATTTATTGGAGTACCAATGCTTGGGTCATCTAATTTTGGGTTAGGATCAGTTGGAGTGTTAACAAGTTTGCTTCCCATCGTATGAGTTTCTTTTAAGAGATCTAGATTTTTCTAACAATTTTCATTCGTAGCAAGTATGGGATAGTGAATCTATAGGGTGGAGAGATACTTTGCAGTGAATGGGCTGACGAAGGAAAAGAGACTCACGGCTGCGGCTTTATGCTTGGAAGGGAAGGCCTTGTCTTGGTATCAGTGGAGAGACATGAGAAGACCAATTCGATCGTGAAGGGAGTTCAAAGATAGTTTGTTAGAACATTTTCGAACCAGTAGGGAAGGAGATATCTACAAGCAGTTCTTTGCTCTTGTTCAGGAAGGGAAAGTGATGGATTATTGGTTTGAGGTTTGAGTACCTTTCTAGCGAATTGTGAAGGCTTTTTGAGACAGCGTTTGAGGAGAATTTTATGAAGGGACTCGAGCCAAAGAGCATGGCTGCTCGAAGGTTGGGCGAGGCTATGGAGTTAGCCCAGTTGGTGGAAGAATTGCCAATTTTGGTTTGACAAATGATACCATTTAGGTGCTCAGTATTTTTTCTTCCTCGAACCACCTGAAGCGTGTTAGCATAAGCACCTTCAGTTATTATGTATTTTCCTTTCTGCCGTTATTATTTTTATATATACTTCCCTGTACTGCATTAATGAATACGAAATCTTCTTTTCCTCAATTCTGTTTCTTCTCTCTCTGTTCTCCGTCTAAGGAGCTCTGGCTTGAGTTCTTGCATGGTATCAGAGCTAGCCATGGGAGATCAAGATTCGGCCAACTCCCTTCCTCCTTCCTCCTCCCCCACTATGTCTGATTCTCCCGTCACCGACCTAGCTATACCTCCTGCCCTCAAGTTTCTTGTTTCGAATATCAAGAATCTTGCTCCGCATCATCTCACGGTGGACAATTATGCGATTTGGCGGGCACAAATTCTTCAGCAGTTCACGGCCAACGGGTTCGCCGAACATCTTACCGGCAAAATTACTCCTCCGACCAATGTTGCTTCCACTGACTACGCCCGCTGGTGTCTTGCGGATAACAACCTTATATCCGCCCTCTTTTCCACCATTTCTCAATCCATCCTACCCTACATTCTTTCCTCCTCAACCACGCATGAAGCCTGGATGATTCTTGAATGGCGTCTCCAACCCACTTGCTGCTCTCGTGTCATCCAACTCAAGAATCAACTTCATCACATTCAACTGAAAGGTCAGACGATGCAACAATACCTCACTCAAATTAAAACCATCATTGACAGCATCGCTGCCTCCGGATCCAAAATCGATCCGGAGGACATTATTCACTACATTCTTAACGGTCTTCCATCCACTTACAACTCCTTCAAGACCGCTATTCCCACTTCTCTTCTACCCATTGAACTCGACACCTTCTACTCCCTCCTCTACAGTGAAGAGATCAATCTTCATCAAGAGAACCTTAAAGAACACATAACCAGCTCGCAAACGACGGCACTATACGCCCCCTCCACCAGCCAATCTCGTAATCGCACCCAAAAACGGTTCTTTAAATCCAAGAACCCCTCGACGGTCTCCAGCTACTCAGATCAAAGCATTTATAGCCTTTGTGAATCTACATTCCCTTATAAATCCATAAATCAACCTAACACTGCCACTGAATCCCCACAAAACATTTCTGTTTCACCCTTTCTTCTTGTCCCTACCTTATCCACCACAATCCCCACTACTTCTCCACTTCCCATTACTCCAACGTCTCATACTACTCACTCTACATCTCACAAACAATCTACATCTCCCTCACCAAATACCACGGCTACAACCACAACCTTACCAATCTCTCTAGCACCCTCTCCTCCCAGATCGCTACCCACACGACCCCTTCACCAAATGCAGACTCGCCTCAAATCCAGAATTACTAAACCTAAGCAAATCTTCAATCTCCTTAGTCACACCACACCTTCCACAACTCCGGCTACTTACAACCAAGCGGCCAAAATTGCTCACTGGCGTAAAGCAATGCTTGATGAATATACAGCTCTTCAGCAAAACATCACTTGGTCTCTTTTTCCCAATCCACCAGACAAACTGATCCTCGACTGCAAGTGGACTTACAAAACAAAAATTCTCCCTTACGGTCAGATCGATCGCTATAAAGCTCGTCTCATCGCTCTCGGCTACGATCAGGAGTTCGGCATAAACTATACCGAGACCTTCAGTCCCTTTGTAAAAATGCCAACTATTCGCATACTGCTCACTCTTTCCCTTCAAGCCAATGCTCCAGCTTGACGTCTCCAATGCTTTTCTGCACGGAGATCTTCTCGACGACATCTACATGCGCCAACCTCCCAAATTTGATGACCCTAACAATCCCACCTTCGTCTGCAAGCTCCACAAATCCCTCTAAGGACTCAAGCAAGCACCACGCCAATGGTTTCAGAAATTCACTAACTTACTTCAAACCAAACGATTCGGGTTTAGTCATTCTGATCCCTCTCTTCTTCTATTTCATCAAAACAACACTCGCATTTACATACTTATTTATGTTGACGATATATTTGTTACAGGTAACGATCAGTCAGCCATTCAACATCTCCTTACGCAGCTACACACTCAATTCGCACTCAAGCAATTAGGCCAAATATCCCTCTTTCTCGGCATTCAAGTGCTCAAGACTCTCACCGGGTACTTCCTCACTCAACGTCACTACGCCAACAGAATACTTGAGGACGCCGGCTTCATTGAATGCAAAGCAGCACCATCCCCAGCCACACCGAAGTCCAAACATTCTCCAACAAATCCGCAGCCATTCCATGACCCAACTCTGATGGGGACATCATCAGCGATTTCGACACATGTACCTTCAGGAGATGCCGGAGATCGACGGTCACGATCATGATTTGTATTTTCATCATTTATGTAGTAGTTTATTTTATTTTATGATTTTTTTGTTTTCACCCTTATGGGTATTTGGTAGCTATTATAGCCCAAGGGGCATTTTAGTACTTTACTTTCTTTGTCATTTTGAGGCCTATTTATATGGCCCTTTTCTCATGTAATAGTTAGTTTTTGATGAATGAAAAATATTTTTCACTTATGATCTCTTTGTGAGTTCACCCTCCTCTCTCTCAAATCTCTTAGTGAGTTTTGAGAAGAGCTAGATCTCTTTGTGAGTTCTAGATCTTCTTCCAATTTTCTTTATGATCAAGTAGTGTGAGAACTCAAGGAAATTTCATCCGGATTATACAACCCAGCTCACCCAGCAATCCCGCCTCCCACCCTGTTCTGCAGCTGGCTCCATTGGCCGCCAGCTTCATTGGCCCTCCAGGCCTTTGGCCGCAACCCTGCACTCGTCCCAGCAGCCTGGTGCTCTCCCCGTGCAGCCACCTCTCTACCGCCTCCCAACCTCACGGCTAACAGCCAAGCCGTGAGCCCCCAGCCCACCGTTGCCTTGCAGCCCCCCCTTGCCACCGAATCTCCTGGCTTTCGCCAAGCTTTTGAATTCCAAATCCTGGCGTGTTAATTAACTGCCTAATTAGGAATCCCTCTTAAGGCAAGGCAGTTAATGACATTTCGAGCTATTTGAAATTTGAATTCGTTTCCCTCTC